CCCACTGGTTCATGAATCCGTGCACCAGGCCTCTAGTATAAATGTAATATATATATAAAATATATGATCTGAAATCTCGCCCACCTGATATAACTATTAACATATTGGTAACCATCTTTCCATTCATTTTTTTAAAAATATATTTTATTGATTTTTTTACAGAGAGGAAGGTAGAGAGATAGATAGTTAGAAACATCGATGGAAGAGAAACATCGATCAGCTGCCTCCTGCACATCTCCCACTGGGGATGTGCCCGCAACCCAGGTATATGCCCTTGACCGGAATCGAACCTGGGACCTTTCAGTCCGCAGGCCGACACTCTATCCACTGAGCCAAACCAGTTTCGGCTCCATTCATTTTTTATTGCATATAAAGACACATGTATATTTTTAGTTAAATGGAACCATATCATACAATGTGCTTTTATTGTAGACACCTTTTAAAAATATTTTATTTTGCTTCCACTTCTGCCTCATGTTAATAATCTTCTATGTACTCCATGCCTTCTTCTCTATTCAAATAACCATACACAAATATACATACATTTCTATATTCTATATAAAAACAGGGAAGATTTTTATTTTTGTCACTTTTACCAAAATTTTTATTATAGATATCTCTCTATATATTACTCTTCTCCCTTAACAATGCACCAAGAAATGTCCCTCTAAGTCAATTAGTACAGATATAACATTCTTTCAAACGGTTAAATTATAGGCTATGATCTGGATGGTTAGTCAATAATTCCCCTACCCAAGGATATTTACACTTTGTTCTCAGTTTTTGCTACTTTAAACAATACTGTAATATTTATCCTTATACAGATTTCCTAAGTACTAGTGCTTGTTTATGACCTATATTCCTAGGAACATATTTGCTGGATTAAAAAATATGATATATTTTAATTCTAACAAATATAAGATTTTAAAATTGTCAACGGCAAGCATGTCAAACTCAGAGGCTAACACGGGCCAAATAAAAAAGGTTTAAGTTTATGAGGACAGCAAAAAAACAAAAGGTTCAATTTTCATAGAAACATTAAGTTTATTTTGATAGAGACATTCTGAATACAAAGGGCTGAAATAAATGAGTAACCATTAACATAAATAGAACATTTTAATAAAAATTAGTATTTTTTTTTGAACATTAACTTATCAGACACTGAATAACTGCACAAATTAAGCATAACGCAAATAAACCTATTTTTCTTGTTCTCCGAAAGCGAAATATTTCCTGTTGCGCACACCAAACAAGTCAGTCCAAGACTAATGATGTGGTAATCGGCTGCTGAAATATTCACTGCTAGTATTAGTGGAGAGAAATGGTGCACCTGCGCTTAAGGCACGTAAGGGAAATGAATGCAACATGATTATAGTAATCAGTCGTTATTAATAATTATGCATAACAAGTTACGAAATTTTTAAAACGTTTCTTCCATACTGTTATATTGGCTGGGCCGCAAAAATATTCGTTGTGGGCCACAAGTTTGATATGCTTAGTCAACTGAATGGGTGCAATGTCTCATGTTTACTAACCATTTGGATTTGTTCTTTTCTGAATAGCCTCTTAAATCTTTTGCCAGTTTTTCTATTTTTACACATTACATATCAATTCGTATGTGTTCTTTTTCATTATAAATGACCCTTTATATCTGATACATGAATTTGAAAAAATGTTATTTTTCCCAATCTGCTTTTCTTTTGGCATTATTTATGATACCTTTTACCATATAAAATGTATTCATGTTTATATAGCTAAATATGCTTATCTTATACAGCTTTTAGGTTTCCTATCATGGTCAAAAGGTTTCTCCAATAGTGTGTGTAAATATATGTATATACATACACACACACACACACACACACACACACACACACACACACACACATATATATAATAGATATATGTTCTTTTGTTGTTGCTGTTTTGTTTTGTTTTGTTTTTTGTTAATCCTCATCCAAGGATATTCCCCCCATTCATTTTTAGAGAGTGGGAGTGAGGGGGGAGAGGGGG